TCCGGCCGGGTGGAAGCGATGGGTGCGGAAACTTCTGGTTTCTCGGCCGTTGCTTGCTTTTGTTCGTCTTCTGCGGGCAGTGGCGTGACCTTTGCCCGTTTTGGTTTCACGATTGCTACTGCCAATTGCCTCAGCTTATGTTCGGCCAGGAAGTAGGATCGTGATTGTCTTTGGCATCCCCAAATTGCTGCGACTCCCGTAGGTTTTGGGAATTTGATGCCTAAGTGATATGTTGACAGAACCGCCTTCATGGAATTTATCCAAGGAGTTCCCATAATCACGTTGTAGATAGCCGGGAAATCGACTACCGCGAAGTTAACGATTTTCGTCACTTCTTTTGCGGCGACCGGTAATCGGATCGATCCCAGGGTCATCGACGTCTCGCCGAAGAAACTAGTCAACGGTTTTGGAATCGGCTCGACTTCCGAGAGGTCGATTCCCATGCGTGCTAGTGTGTTGCGGAAGATCATGTTGACAATACTTCCAGTATCGACCAAGATCCGAGCGACTTCTAAATCGCTTATCACTAAGTCGATGACAAGAGGATCGGCATGAGGTTGGTCGATTCCGCCGGTTTCAGCGTCGTCGAATGAGATCACTCCTTTCGGAGAGTCATCCGTTGGCACCTTCCAACTCGAGCCGGTTTCAGCTTTGCGTTGGTAGGATTTTAGAGACGAGACGGTGTCGTTGTAGTATTGCGATTCGCCGATAATCATGTTGATTTTTCGGCGGTTAGCGTCGTTACCCTTCTCGTCTTGTCTTCGTCCGCGTTTTTTGCCTGACTGGTTTCCCTGAGGCGGAGTTTCTGCTCGCGCGTTCCTGTCATTCTTCGGAAGGCGATCCGAATCGCTGATGAGATCCTTGACACTGGATACCTCGGAAAGTTCTCCCGCGACCAATTTTGCGGCAAGTCTGGCACCGAGAACTTTTCAGTTCACGGTGGAATGCCCGCGGGTTTGGTGGAGGTCGCAGAAAGAATTCTCGTCGTAATTCGAATTTCTCGTCCACGTGTTACCCGTAGTTCGCCATTGCTCTGAACCGGAGTTCATGGCATAGTTATGCGCCCCTTGGAGATCCTGTCCCTCGTGATGGACGAATTTGTCGTTACAAGAGTTCCTCTTTTTCTGCTTCTGCTCGGATGCGTTATCCTTCGCGGATGTTTTCGTCGGCTTATGCTTCTTGGACAGGATTTTAGTCTCCTCTTCGATGGTTATGAAGGCAGTGGCCTAATGGAGCGCATCCTGGATCGTCCGTGGTTTCTCGAGAGTTATCCACTTGCGGAACTTCGATTTATACCAGAGCGATTTCCTTAACGCGTCGATGGCGGCTTTGTCGCTAATCCCGCTAACCCTAGCCATGGCGATTTTGAACCTACACATGAAATCTTGGAGTGATTCGTCCTCCTTCTGCACCAAGCTCCAGAGGTCGGCGTCGGAGGTTTCCGGATTAATGAACATCGAGTATTGCTTCAGGAATTCCGAAGCCAGTCGATGAAAACTTCCGATCGAATTTCGCCTAAGTTTGGCGAACCATTCGAGCGCTGCTCCTTCTAGGTTTTCAACGAAGAGGCGGCAGTAGCCTGCATCCTTTTCGTGGTCCTTGAGCTTGGCTCGTCCCATGGTGATCTGGAATGCTTGTAGGTGTGCTTTGGGATCGGATGTCCTGTCGTAGGTTGGCACCTTAAGCTTTCCGGGATCAGGCAGTTTGATCTCGGTGATGCGAGCCGTGAAGGGCGTCTTCCGAGATTCGTACAGTAGCCGATCGATTTCAGGTGCGGCGCTGGTAGCGTGGTGAATCTGAGAGTTTACCGCTTTTACCGCTGCGGCCGTTTTGGTGATATATTCGCGGAGATCTCAAATCTCGGTCAGACCGCCAGCCGTTTTCCGACCTTGTCGGTGTTTGCTACGAGTGACCGGAGATCGCTCCTCGGCGGTTTTTGCGTATCGCGCGAAGTCGAGTTCCCCCTCGTCTCCAGTAAAAGAACGTTCGGGAGAAGACTCCGGCAGAGGACTTTGAGTCTTTCTTCTCCTAGGATGGAAGTCAGAGTCTTCGTCCGATGAATTGGCCTGGTCGCTTGTCTCCAGGTTAACCCTTTCGATGCTGTCGCCCTCGGTCTCCTGTTCGTGAGTAGGAGGTTTCTCCGATTCGTTTAGCGTCGCGTCAGGATTGTCTTTTCCGGAATCCTTTTCCGGTAAGTTACCCTGCTCGGTTCTGGGACGATCCATAGGAGCGCCAAAGTCGAGCCTCCTTCCGCGGATCTTAGTAGTTCCGCGGGGGCGAATTGCTCGGGTTTTCGCGGTTAGGGTTTCTACCCGTTTCGCGAGCGAACCAATGAGCTTTTCCTGCTCTTCCGATTTTTTGTTAAACTCGGAAAGCATCTTTTCGATGGTCTCGGCGTTAGCGTTTGTAGCGTTGGCCGCGGACTCACCTTGTGGTGGTGTTGTTTCAACGTTATCGCGTTTGTTACGAGTTTGGTTGTCACCAGTCATCGTTTCTTCGTTGAACATGTTGCGGCTTCGGTATAAGATAGATCCGACCCCCCCTCCTTCTAGCTCCAAACCGTGGGAACCGAAATCCACCTACTGTCAATAAATCGTAAAAAAGGAAACTTCGGGAGAACCCTAAGTTTCCAGAGGAACCGGCTATCTGCAGAACCGCACAACGAAGATTAAGAAAACGATAAACTTAGAATTTAAAAGTGAATAAACGAAATTAAGAGCAAAGAGGTTCTTATTCCGAATCTGCGTAGAACTGGTACAAAAAGAATAGCCGAAAAGCTTAAGAACGAAAAACCCTAATTGAGACGCAGCTCTCTAACAGAAAACGGAAATATTCCTAAATGCTAATTTTGGTGGTGAGAGCTCTGAAAATCGTGTCCCAGCTTCTGCCCTATACCTCCTCCTTATATACTCCTCCTTAGGCGATTTCGATCATTCCATTTCGCCCGAAACCCAATATATCAGGAACTTTCCATATCTGTCGATCCTTCATTTTCTTACGCGGAAATCTTCTATTTATTTTCAAACTTGCCTTTTATCTTCCGTATGCGAGTACACCGTCAAAACGTTATCGTATCTTCGGGTTTGATTTCGTTAATATCGCGAGATGGATTTTTATCGTGTTTTAGGACCTTTCGGGCCGTTTTACGATAAAAACCGTTTTACGACTTTAACGAGACCGTTTCCTGATCCGATGCCGTTTTTACGATTTTCTCGACGTTTTTTATTAAAAACGCGTTTTTATGATCTTAACGAAAAATCTCGGATAAATCATATAGTTTAGGCGATGTTCGGAGTCTTGCTTAACCGTTGTCGTTTTATATGATTTCTTCGAGTTCTTTTCGGGAAAACGGAGTTTTACGGTTTTTATCGTAGAATTCAAACGATAAGTCGGATCGAGACAAAACGAGAGACATTTCGGCCGTGGTTCAGAATATGACCGTGTCGAAGGACGTAAGGTTCGAATCGGGGCTGCGGGAGATCCGGGAGGTCTCTAGTTCGCCAGCAGGCGAACTGGCCGAGGGGTTCTTAGTTCGCCAGCAGGCGAACTAGTTGGAAGCTTCTAGTTCGCCTGCTGGCGAACTAAGCCAACCTGGCTTAGTTCGCCAGCAGGCGAACTAGTCCGGGACCGTCTAGTTCGCCAGCAGGCGAACTAGTTGCGACTAGTTCGCGCTTCGTGGCTGTTTCGGTCTTTCGCGGTTTTGTAAAACGATTTCTCGAGTTTTATAGAACGGCTTTTCGAGTTTTCTAAAATGATCTTCGAGTTTTAGAAAACGGCTTCTCGAGTTTTATAAAACGATCTTCGAGTTTTATAAAACGATCTCAAGTTTTATAAAACGGCTTCTCGAGTTTTATAAAACGATCTTTGAGTTTTATAAAACGATCTCGAGTTTTATAAAACGGCTTCTCGAGTTTTATAAAACGATCTTCGAGTTTTATAAAACGATCTTCGAGTTTTATAAAACGATCTTCGAGTTTTATAGAATGGCTTCTCGAGTTTTATAAAACGATCTTCGAGTTTTATAAAATGATCTCGAGTTTTATAAAACGATCTTCGAGTTTTATAAAACGGCTTCTCGAGTTTTATAAAACGATCTTCGAGTTTTATAAAACGGCTTCTCGAGTTTTATAAAACGATCTTCGAGTTTTATAAAACGGCTTCTCGAGTTTTATAAAACGATCATCGAGTTTTATAAAACGACCTTCGAGTTTTATAAAACGGCTTCTCGAGTTTTATAAAACGATCTGCGAGTTTTATAAAACGGCTTCTTGTTTTATAAAACGACTTCTTGGGTTTTATAAAACTATTCCTTCTTGGGTCCTATTATGATGAGTGGCAACATTTTTTTAGTTCAGCTCATCGTTTCTAATGGACCTTAAATAATTTTCAATGATTAACTAAATATGCCACATACATAGTGGAAGTGTTTTGGTTTAAAAATTGTTGCATATTCAAAACTAATATGAACCATCATCAGTTTCGTTTGAAATTTTGTTATAATAAAAACTATAAGGTTGCGTTAAAATTTGAATCCAAATAACCGAACTAAATCCAATATGAAAAATTATGGTATCTAGATAGCCTTAACCGAACCTGATCCGAACATAAATATTTTGGGTATCCGAGTATATTAGAACCAGATTTATATACTTAAATATATTAATTATTTTCAAATTTAATATCTAAAAAATTATAAAAAATACATAAGATGTTTTTTAATTGTCCAAAATACTTACAAATATTAAAAATAGTTAAAAGTATATTTTTAAAATAGATAAACATTACACAAAATACAAAAATACTGAAAATATCGATTGATTTTTTATTCATGAGCTAAACCAATTTTTATTCTAAGTTGACGTGATCTTTACGTGTACACACGAGGAACATGTTGACCTTCTTCAGAACTTTCAGCCGCCAAAACATGTATGGGAAACTCAACTGATCACGCGACGTGTAGCGGACAACTTCATTGAACCAGAGGCACATGAAAAGGTTCGTCAGTGGTGTGTTTCTCTCAAGCATTGCGCCTTTCTGGTTAGCCGCTTTACCAAACTCAAGAGCTCTTTGTGCACAAGCTCAAGAAGAAGAATCCCAAACCCGAAAGAATAGGTTTTTTCATAAGACTGACCAGTTGAGAGATATTCAGGAGCAATGTGACCTACCGTGCCTCTCACGGAAGTTGTGACATGAGTATCTTGGTGATTGAAGAGCTTAGCTAAACCAAAATCACCAACCACAGCTTCACAGTCATCATCAAGAAGCATATTAGCTGCCTTGACATCACGGTGGATAATATTGGGATCACATTGCTCATGTAAATACACAAGCCCTGTCGCACCTCCTATAGCTATCCTCTTCCTAATACTCTAATCAAGAACCGGTTTAGCTTTCATTTTAGATGCTACACTTCCGTTAGACATGTAAGGATAAACCAGAAGCTTCTCAGCTTGCGTGATGCAGAAGCCATAGAGTCTTAAGAGGTTTCTGTGGACAGCTAAACTGATCATCTCTACTTCTGTCTGAAATTGAATCTCTCCTCCTAATGCATTCCCATCTTTAAGTCTTTTCACCGCAACCACGGTGTTGTCTCCAAGTATACCTTTGTATACATTCCATTAGCCACCTTTACCCAATAAGTTCTTTCTGCTGAAGTTATTTGTTGAAATCTGAAGCTCCCTGAAACCAAACCTCCTCAAGTTTCCTAGTGAGACTTCCTGATGGTAATGCCCATCTGATGAAATACAAAGTTACAAATGATTCTTGTACGAGTTTGGTATGCAAGTAAAGAAACAGAGAAGTATCATACCTTTAAAATCAAATAATGTGTTTTGATTGTGTCTTTGTCTCCACCAGAGAAACAATCCAACAGCAATGAAGATCATTGATACAATCCCAACGCTAGCTCCTACAGCTATAGCCATTTTGTGATTCTTGGATCTACTGGTGTTTAAAAGAGCTTAAAAAGAGAAAAAAAGTTGTTGGTTAGGTATTATCAAAGAGCAGCATAGCTAAAGTTTACTTCAAGTAGCTAGCTAGTTACCTCCAGTATCATTCAAGTTCATAGACATTGGTATCAGTGTAGTTCCGTTGCAGTCTGATTCCTTACCCGTTGGACAGATCAGTGGGTTCCCAATGATGCTGTAATCAAAAGGGAGACTATTAAAGTTGATCAGAGCTATGGAGAGAGAGTGAAAAAGTGAGTTATAAGAAAGAATCCAATCACTTAAAGGTATTTGCAGTAAATCTTGGGACAGGAGCACTAAGATTGTTGTATGATAAATCACTGTTGACAAATAAAACATCATAAATCTTAACAATATATACATGTTTTTATTGGTGTCATGGTTACTCGTTAATTTAAACTGAAGATTGATTTAGGCTTACAGTAAGGCAAGCTGAGTCATGTTGGATAGTGACAGAGGAATTATTCCAGAGAGAGAGTTGTTGTTAAGTCTTCTGATGATACACAATATAACATATCAAGATCATAAACTTCCTTTAAAACAATACAATTTTAAGAGATACATTAACAAATTTTTAATTTTATTCTTACATGTATTGCAAGCTTTGTAGATAGTCTAGTGAGAAAGGAATGTCACTATGGACGAAGTTGTCAGAGAGATCAAGAGTCTCAAGCCGTGTAAGCCGACTAATTCCAGAAGGTATTTTTCTTTTTATGTTGTTTTTCCGCCTCTTGCTTTTAGAAGGAGTTACAAAGAACCTGCAAAAGAGGAGATACTTTTAAGTTCAATAGTACTTGGAATACCCGTTCCCTGTGCGTACGTAAATTGAAAGAGCATAAGTAAGCTACCTTTTACCAAGGATCATGTTACGGTCTGCATCACCATCGGCAGCAGCACCAAAGTCTGGAGGCTCCACTCCGGTGTCGGATTTACCTAATCCCATTTGTACCACAAGCTCCTTAGCATAGGTCATATTTGGATCGGGATGACCTCCACCAAAGTCCTCCTACAAATGTTGTATAGTGGTAAGGAGGTGTGTTTGTGATGAGTTAATGTATAATATTTATTGGTTGGACAAAAGTAAGACCTTGGGTACGCAGTTCAATAAAGAACTTTCTTGCGCACCGAGTTCTTCGACAAAGATCCGATGTGCATAGGCTCCAGCAACTCCATGCATTGCATCATAACTTCATTGAAGAGGGTACAATATAACATCAGAGCGATGAAATATATATCTTACAAAAGTATGGGTTTTTTTGGTTTACGGTTTAGGGTTTAGTTTTTAGAGTTTAAAAGTTTAGGATTCATGGGTTAGGGTTTGGGTTTTTTGGTTTACGGTTTAGGGTTTAGTTTTTAGGGTTTAGGGTTTAGTTTTTAGCGTTTTCGGTTTTCCAAATAATATTTGGATTTTTGGATTTACGGTTTAGGATTTATGGGTTAGGATTTGGTTTTTTTGGTTTAGGGTTTAGAGTTTAGGGTTTAAAAGTATATGAGAAAAGTTTTTAGGGTTTAGGGTTTAAAAGTTTAGGATTTATGGGTTAGGGTTTTTTGGTTTAGGATTTAGGATTTAGGGTTTAGGGTTTAGGATTTAGGGTTTAGGGTTTATATTAGTAAGATGTGTTTCAAAAAAACAAAAAAAAATAGATTAATAAGATCTTTGGGTTGATTCGCATCTAATGCGATGCGTGTGTCAGATGTATATGTGGCTGAGATTGTTTCTTCTTCTGCAACAACAACTATTACACGTCCTCGGTAAAGTAAATCAAATCTTACGAAATATTCACTAAATCCACCACGTGCTACGCTATCTTACATGTCTATGAAAACTAGAGGGGTATATGGTCTTTTTGGCTAGTATACCAACACTGTACAACTCAAAGAAATACTGTTTAAGGTAGATTGCTAATTTCAGTATTAGTTTAGGATATTTTCCCAATTGACTCTAAGTTCAATTAGTTAAAGGTATAATAGTATTTTTCTATTAAAATTTTAAGGGTAAAGATGATTAATGTAGAAGTGAAATAGTGTACCATGAATGTGCTAGTTTTGGAAAATTCCCTATATTTTTTTGGCTTATTTAACATTCATAATCATTAGACTATACTTTAAGAATAATAAAAATAGTTGGACATCGTGTCACTATTGTTGGACATGTTGCAAAATTGACGTAGTCTATAACCAATAACATGTATTTAATTATAAAAAAAATCTTCGAAACTATAGTAAAAACACTATACAAGAGGCTAGAGTTGCGTGTAAAATAATGTGATCTTTTCACTCGGCACCTGAATTATGTTTTCGATTGATATCACAAATTTTATTTACTTTTAAAATTTTTATGATTTTTGATTTTTTTCTAGTACAGTAGAACCTCTATAAATTAATACTCGATAAATTAATAATCTCTATAAATTAATAAATTTTACCGGTCCCAATTGGGCCGGTGTAAAATATGACACAAATCGATAAAATAATAAGATAATAATATTTTTAAAACTGCCATGTAAATATATGATCCCACTAAAATCATAAATTAATAATCTAGCTATATATAATTTTATATAAGTACAATCTAACATTATATTGTTGGTTTTATATTTACTATAAAAATACTTTTATTTTCAAACATTTCAATATATTTTAATAATATTAGTTAAATTATATCAAAAACCATGTAACGATTCTATGAAACATAAAAATATACACCAAATAAGATAATAAAACAATATAAAAGTCAAATTTCTAAAATTTAAATAACGTACATATGCTAAAATCAAATATTTTTTATTTTATAAATTACAATGGAAAAAGATAAAAAAAAAAATCTAAATAAGGAAACTTTTGTAAATTAATATCTCTATAAATTAATAAAATTTCAAAGTCCCAACATTATTAATTTATTGAGGTTTTACTGTAATCTGATTATGTTTTTAATTCTTGGTATGATATGAAAACTTTGTAAAGAAAATCAATACTTGGCTAAACTAAAGATCCGACTTTGCGTGTAGTGTTTTTTAACTTGAGTATCCTTAATTAATAACCAAACACATATATTTGTTGCTTTCATGAACTGAAACCTCAATCATGGCCAAGTTCGGCAAGATATGAAACTTTCAATTTCTAAGAACATGATTTTCATTCCAACATTTTAGTTGATGCAAATCTTAATGAATTTATTTATTTATTTATTTGAAAATGATATTATTCAGTAGTTTTACAAAGATAATTTTAATTAATTTCAATTCACTATTAGAAATGTTAAAATGCATGAACTAAAAATGAGCTGATTGAAAAAAAAATAGAATGCAAACACATTAAATTGTTTGCGGTGTAGTTAAAAAAAACTAGTGTGGGAACGCATTTATTGTTAAACGATTGTAAGAGCGACACGTCAGCATATTCAAAAAATATAATGTGAATGCATAAATTTCGAGTGCTTCTCCTTTTATATATATAGGGGATCGAGAAACTGAATTAACCACACCGAAGCGAAACCAAAAATGAGATGGTGTTCTCAAAAGAAATTCTCAAGAGTACTTCAAGAGCTTTGTGTCTTCGCTTAGAAAATTTGTATATATATATATATATATATATATATATATATATATATATATATATATATATATTCAAAAGAAGTTATTATAGATGTATAATCTTGGTAGCAGAATTTGTTGAAGAGATTGCATGCAAAGTTTGGAGACGGTAGCTTCTGGTCAATGCTGAAGAAATACTACTCTTGAGTGATTCAGGAAGCTATAGAATATGTCAATGATTGTCTTATTCCCAATTTGAATTCTTTTTAAACAAAGTAAATATAAGTGAGAGCCTTGAAAAGATTCATTTGTTGTTTGTACAAGGTTTTATCTTCTAAACTATTGATTTCATACTTAAGCGTTATGTGTATATATTGCCCAAGTACATTCACTTGTAAACTACCTAATTTTTCACTTTGTTGGTACAACCTGTTACGGCCCAAACATAACAAACCCTCAAACTCTAAATTTAAAGCATAAATTTTAAACAAAAACTCTGATTCATGGTATTTTACTAATTTTGGATGATCTGAACTTTAAGCTCTTTCTCCAATATAAACCTAGAAGAGATGGTGGGGAGACAAATTTGACACACAACACATAGTAATTCATGGATGTTGTCATGCGATTCATATAGTTCGTGTAGTTTTTAATACATTATTTAGTTTATATGTGTGATCATGAGATTGTGTATTGTTCATGTAGTTAGCAATCCTTTTTATCATTTTATGCCATATATTATGAATACATAGAAATAACAATTCAATTTTATATTTACTTAGATAAAACTAAAAATAAAATTAGAGATGAAATTCATATTGAATAGAGATAAATAATAAAAAATGTGTATGTTTATATAAAATTTCTTTGTATGATATTAACTGATTATTTAATGGAGCCATATATTTACCTAAGAGTTTTCTAAATATTATTCTTATTATTTTTTGAAATTATGTAATATTTTACACTGACTCAACTTTAGACTGGAAAATTTTATTAATTTTGATATGATTATTAATTTATCAAATATTAATTTGTAAAATTTCTACTCTAAATGATTATGAGATAAAAATGTTGATATGTTTAAGAAATGTGGTGTTGATATGACAGATGTGATTTGTTTGTTGATTCTTTTTATCAATTTAGTGTGTTTGGTCATTTATTGAATATTAATTTATAGAACTATTTCTGTAAATCGTTGAGTTGGAAAATGTGGATGTGTTTAAGAAATGTGGTGTTGATATGTTTGTTGATTCTTAAATATGTTGGAAGATGCATGTTCTACAACTAGTATTTTTGCATATTTGTTGGTTAATAGTTTTGATCGGAAACTCGCTAAGCGCTATGCGTGCGTGCGGCGCACTCAGGCCTAGCGATTTATTGAAATCGAATAAAATCGTTGATTACTCAAGGATGAATTTATGTATATTTATATATACAATCCCAGATTTATACGTATAATACACAAAGCTTTATGTATATTTCAATTTTTTGTATAGAAATATTTTTTTTTTAAATTCATAGTGGCAAATAAATTAAAAATCACTACAAGAAATATTGACATTCTTAGCGCGAGTTTTATGCTATGGTAGATGTATGATAGCGAATTCATAAATGTTATGTATGCGGCAACCATCATAGGTACCCCCTTTATAATAGCAATTTTTTTAAATGTTATGAAATATGCAGATACGATAGCAATATTCGAATGATGTTATTAACTTATCTATAGCACTATTTTTTTGCTACAAAATAATTACGATTTCTATATTTGTGCTATGATAGGTCATTTTATAATAAAATAAAATGAATTATAATAAAAAATAATAATTAAAAATTAAATCAAAATTTCTTTTATAATTAAAATAAATAAATTTTATTTATAACTGAAATTGCTTTACAAATTTATTCTGGTTTACCTAACTAAACTAGAAATTAAAATAAAATCAAACCACTACAATTTTCCTATCTTGGTTTACACTAAACCAAATTAAAAAAGAAAAAACCTAAACCTAAAAAAAACAAGAGACTACAGCCGCCTTGATTTTCTGTCTCCTCCAGCCTCTGGCTCTGTCTTCTCTCCGTCCACCTCTTCGCCTCCGGATCTGTTCTCTCTGCCTCAACCCTGAGCATAGAACAATCCAAAGTAGCAGACTTTAACAACTACAAATACCACTACAATCCAATAATGTTAAGAGATGAAGAGAAGTAAAAAGAAGTAGAGGAGGGGGGAAGAGAGACCTCGGCGATGGAACAGAAGAGAGACCTCGGCGATGGAACAGAAGAGAGACCTCAAGTCACCTCGTCTCGTCACGCCTCTTGTGCATCCTCCAGCTTCCTTTACCAAAAAACAAATCAAAATCAGTTTTAAAGGAGAGAAAAAGAGAGGGAGAGAGCGATGGCGGGTGGTGGTGGTGGTGGTGAGGAAGTCAACGTGACGGTGGGAGAGAGAGATGGTGGGCGGTGGTGGTGAGAGAGATGGCGGGTGGTGGTGGTGAGAGAGAGAGAGAGAGAGATGGCGGGTGGTGGTGGTGGTGAGAGAGAGATGGTGGGTGGTGGTGGTGAGAGAGAGAGATGGCGGGTGGTGGTGGTGGTGAGAGAGAGATGGCGGGTGGTGGTGATGGTGAGAAGGAGGCGTGAGAGA